CCATAATTATACGAATAATTCTTTTCACTTTTCTAAAATATAATTTAAAAGTTATTGCATATTCGGCTTTTTATGCTAATTTATTTGTTTCACATAATCCATTCTATGAAAACATATATTAGAAAAATTAGATAATAATATATAATACTATAGATTAAATAAAAATCAGAAATTTCAGTAGAAAGTTTCCGAAAATAATGTCGATTTCACTGATACTAAAAAAAATATATTAATAAGATTCACACATATCGTACGCCCACATACAGTATTCATTACATTGTAATTCACATACATAGGATATGTATATATTTTCTTTTCTAAAGAAAATGTAGCCACACTTTTAAAAGACAGAAAAAGTTCCTATATCTAATTAAAATACAAGATTATAAATTTTAGCAATATTATTTATTTTATTAATAATTTTATAATAATTAAATTTTTTATATTATATTTGTGTTCATTTTTTAAAACATATTTGAATTTATCAGCATAATTTGTAAAGAAAAAAAGGAACAATCACAATTACTTTGGATATCTAAATATCGACAACAATATGCAAACTTGACTTGAGACTTGATATAGTTTCAGTCAAGTTACTAGAAATTACTAGTTTCTAACTCTTACAATTTCCCGCAATTTTATAAAATATTTGCTTCTAACAATATATTTGTTGTCATGGTAAATCACATAAACAAGATTATATACCGAACAATTATAATATTCAGTATAATATAATGCGTAGTGCTATTCAATTATATGATATTTCTATAAATTTAATATTTTTTAAGTTTCATTTTTCTCTAAAATTTTCTCTATAATTGTATTAAGTTATAATTTTAAATAATTGTGTAGATTATCCTATATATATATATGTATATATATATATATATATACATATATATATATTACTCTTATTACTTTTTTATTATTATTCTTATTACATTTACTTATATATATTTATATTCTATAATATAAAATAAAATAATTTATCATAATAATGTATTACAAAAATATAATTTAAAATATAATATTGTGTAAGTTTTACAATCAAATTTTCGAAAATATTTGTTATAAATTTATAAAGTAAATGAATTTATATAAAAATACTATTACAAATGTTTCTAATTTTCAAATTAGAAACATGAAATTTTTCATTAAATTAAAAATTATTTTGAAATCAATTAAATTAGCATAAATAATTGTAATTATATTTATATATAATAACGGGATAATTAATTATAATAATTGAAAAATAAGTATTTTAACTTATTAAAAGAAATGGAAATAAATCAAATTAATAATTTATTATTGAAGAAAATATACATAAATTATTAAAAATGTGTACTTCAACAACTAACAAAGGTATTTATAAATTAATTCATATATTGCACAACTTCAGATCATGGCATATTTGATATTTATTACTTTTCATTTTATCTTTATTAATTAATTTTCATAATAATTCTCACATAATATTTATCTAAGTTTTTTTTTCAAACGAATACATTTAATGTGCAATTAAAAGAAGTTAAAAAAAAATTGTCATTTATAAATTATTATATTATTTTTTCAATATAAATATGTGCAACAGGAATATGTGCAGATTTGACAGAAATATTCTGTAAACTTGAAGATTGTAATCAATCAAAGTTGACATTTGGAATGTTTTTTGAATTTATGAAACTTGCATATCAAGTTAATAATTGTGAAAATTTAACTACAATACTGACTTCAGTAAATAAGATTGATTGGAATAAATTAGCAAAAATTGATTGTACTATACAAAATTATAATAGCATAGATGAAAAATATATTAATAGTGATGTCATGCAGAAACATAAAAGTACTAATGCAACAAAAGAAATTTCTGAAATATCTGAAACAAATAATACCAATATTAAATATTCTGTACATTGCATTGTACCTTCAGATGCAAAGTTTAAAAATGAGCCAATAGATATTTATAATCAAAATTTAATAACTGATTTTGAAAAATGCAATCAAATAGAAGAAACTTCATTACAAGTAGAAGATGCAAAGATTATAAAATCTGTAGATACAACTAAAAATTTGTTAATTACCTTAATGAAGACAAATTTAAGTGATGTATTACATGAAGGTTTATTAGATTCTGTATTGCCATATATGATTCCAAAACCTACTATTTCACAACCCATTATTAAAAAGTCTATTACAAATACTGAAATAAAAAAAAGTAATTCATTAAGTAATAATATTGAAACAAGAGCGATTACAAATGTTGCACATAAAGAAAAAGATAAGAAATTAAGTAAAAGATCAATTGAGTAAGTATATTAATAATTAATATTAACTTGAATTAAATTTAATATTGATATTAAAAATAATTTTTTATAGAATTAATAACAGTTTTTATTCTACGCTTGTACAGCAATGAAGTGGAAATTCATGTTTGCGATGAAGAAAAGAATATCAAAAAAAATTTTCGTTGCCCTCAAAAACTTCTTATTCAAAAAATGCGTTATTTTGCTGATGTGACAGCAGGTCAAAAGTTAGAAGAAATAGATATATCAGTTCATTGTGACGTTACAATTTTTGATTGGTTAATGAGATGGGTGAAAAAAGATATTATAAAAAAATCAGAATGGCCAGTTTTGGAGATTAATAATGTGATTCCAATAATGGTGTCAGCATCTTTTTTACAAATGGAACCATTATTAGAAAGTTGTTTACAATATTGTCATGATAATATGTCTGATATATTAAAAACATCAACAGTTTTAACTGGTTTAGATGATAATCTTTTAATAAGGTATTTTTCTTTTTCTTTTTGTTCTATTTTTCTATATTTTAAATACTTTAAATATTTATTATTCAAAAAAATGTTTCATTATATATATAATAATGAAATAATAATATATATATATATTTATATGAAAAATAATAGATGTTTATTTAGTTTATAAATTTTATTTTTTTATTTTGTTTTTGATTAATTATATATCATTTTTAGTTAATAATTTTTTTCAGATTAGTAGAACAATTTACAAATGAAGATGTTGAAGCATTAAAAGATAAAAAAGATAAAATTCAAAGTAAATTATTTTGCAAATTGATTATGTCTCTTGTTGAAGTAATGCCAGATAACAAAAAAGGACATTATAGTTCTTTAGCAACATTATTTAAATGTAGCAAATGTGGGAAAAATATTATTCAATCAGTTTCTAATTATGTACCTTGCATTTCAAGTGCAATGAAAATTGATAATTATGGAAATATTCATAGTAAACACATAAGGTATAATTATATTAATTATTATACTGATATAAAAAGCTAACATTATAAGATTTATATAAAATAATTATATAGATAATTATAATAAAATCTATGTTATTTAGAGATTTAACATGGACTTTAAATGATTACATTATTACTCTTCGAACGGAGTTACGTTCTTGGCGTAAAGTTTATTGGAGGTTGTGGGGTGATTGTCATTTTTTATTTTGTACACAATGTAATATATATTTTCCAATTCATCAATATGAGTGGTGCTGCTATCATGCAGAATTTCCACAATTTTTTATTAATGAACAACAGCGACCTATACCATTTCCTTTAGGCAGATATCCTTGTTGTAGTCAAAGAGCATATAAATTTGAAGTATTACCAAATCATGAAGGTTGTAGGTATAGGGTAAGCATTTGTTAGTATCATTTCTTTTTATTTTAAAAACTTTAAAAAATATAAGTTTTATAATTGTAGTAATTAAGTTATTTTATTACATTTCCATATAGCATGTTTTTTTTCATTTTAGGAACACATCCCAGATATTAGGACGCAAAGAGATATAAGTATATTGAATATTTTCACAGTACATAGAGAAGTAATAGTTATGGAACCACCACAATTATTTTTCCCAGAAAAAATTACTAGACTGGTAGCTCGTGATGTATCACTTCAACCAGGAAAATTAATGTGTAAAGATGTAATGTGGTGGGTTGGTTTAGAACTTGCTCCACCCCGACCAAGGCTTGGACTTTTAGGTAAATTAATACTTTTTAATTTTATAAAAAAAAATAACAAATATTTAAGAAACTAATAACAAATATTTAGGAAAAATTTGGAGCGGATCAGGATTTCGACGTTTATCCCAAATGCAAGATTTACAAAAATCATTACAAAAAATTCGTCAGCAAGTTTCTATTACAACTGATACTTCATCAATTACATCTTCGATAACAGATAGCGATATAGATGATGGTATTACAACTTATGAAAATACTAGTATTGATGAAGAATCAAATCAGAGTGAAGAATCTCATGCATGGTCTTCATTAAAATCAAAAAATAAAATTAAAAAAAAATTTAGAAATGAAATAATGTGGAGGTGATATATCTTATACAGAAAGAATATATATTATAATATTGTTTTAAAATATTTAAATTATTTATAATATTTATTAAATTAAATTTATTAATATATATTTTTATAATTATTATTATATTTATACAAATAATTTTAAAAATCAAATTAATTTTAGAAATAATGGTCGATCTTGGAGTGGTAATTTAAATGTAAGACATAATCAAGACAATCAAAGAGATTTTGAAGAAAGTGCAGCATTACAGATGATAGCACTTCTAACAAAAAGAATATCTGCAGATTCTTCTTCATTATTTAAATCGTCTAATAAACATAATCGGATAAAAAAACAATTAAATGGTATATTTATTAAATATTATATTTTTAGAAAATATAAAGTTTTCATTATAAATAAATATATATATAAATAATACTATTTAAAGCAGGAGGGATTTATACAAAATTGGAAACTGAACTTCGTGACCAACTAAATCAGTCTTATAAAAATAAAAATATAACTGGGAAGTATTTTCTACGTTCAAAATTAAATAAATCATAAGTATTTCAGACTAGTATAATTGTTATTAAATGTTTTGTATGTTGGACTTTTATTAATTAATATTTATTATACTAAATGAACAAATTTGTATATATTTTTCTAAAATTAATTTATTTAACTTATTTCTAAAATTTATTTATAAAATTAATTAAAAATATATATATCTCTATAATAATTATTAAGATATACAATTGATAAAAATATATATAATATTTTTCAATCTTTATTTAAGATTTTGTTACAAAATTAAATAAATCTTAGAATAAATGATACAAAAATAAATATTATGTAGTAATTAAAATAATATAAAACTAGAAGAAATACTTATATTATTTGTATAATACTATTTTTTAGGAAAAAAATTGAGATATATATTTAGGATTCTGTTTGTTTCTTATATAATTCGGATCTATCTAAGAGATTGTTAAGTTCTTTTTCTGTAAAAACTGTATTGAAAAATATTAAAAATTAATTATTACTAAAATCATATGAAATATACATATTATAATTATGTAAAGAAACATTAATGATTTACCTTCATTTTTTGATACAACTATTTGACATTCTTTTGATTGTAAAAGTTTTTGCAACTTCAACAAATCTGTTTTGCTATTAATATTTATTCCTTGAACACATTTAGAAATTACCACTTTTTCTAAAAGACGTTTTGCTTCAGCGCGATTAATAATTACTTCATCAATAGTTCCTTTGGTACATAATTTATATATCATTACTGGACGTGTCTGTCCTATTCTATGGCAACGTGCCATAGCTTGTATATCCATTTGAGGATTCTGATAAAAAAGATTTATTTTAATGATTATTTTTAATCAATAAGAGTAGTCTTTATAATTATCAATAGGGATAATAATAATGAAAAATAATAAAAATATATAAAAATATATAATATATAAAACATTTTGATAAAATTCTTTAAAAATATAGCTCAATAGTCATATATTTTTTTAATTTCAATGAAATATTTTTTTATCAGAACTTCTATTTTCCCTTATTATGAAAAAAAAAATATATAAAACCAATATACCCAATCAGAATCATATATGATAACAGTATCTGCTCCAATAAGATTTAATCCAACACCACCTGCTCTTGTAGATATAAGAAATAAAAATATTTCAGGATTTGTATTGAAATTTTGAATATTTTCTTTTCGGACTGAGAGTTTAGTAGAGCCATCTAGTCTGACATATTTAAAATCACGTAATGAAAGATAATCTTCAATAACATCCAATATCATTGTCATGGTAGAAAATAATAAAACTTTATGACCTTGTTTTTTAAGTCTTGCAAGCATTGCATCTAAGACCAGAAGCTTACCAGATGATGTAACTAACTCTTCATCTATTTTTGGCAAGCCATCTGGGCCTAATGGACAATGTATTAAATATGGATGATTTACAATTTTTTTATATAAAAAATCTGAAATAATAAAAAAAAACGTAAAAATGAATTATTTTTTTATTTGTAAATTGTTTTTTTTAAATATATATGATTTGTATATGATTGGCATAAATAAATAACTTACGATTGCGAGTCTTAACATTAATTAAAAAATCTCGATTTCGTTCTGTAACATCAGTATATTTTTTCCACATTGATAAATCTTTTTTATTTCCAGATCTTATTTCTTTCCAAGATTTTGTATTTTCTTCGTCGTTTATATCTTCATCACTTTGAAATGAATTATTTGATAATATTTTACTTTCAAAGTTAGAGTTCATAATATTGCTCATATTTCTTAAAACACATTTTCTTTTAGGTCTGTTACCATCTTCTGTATATATAATTGGTTCTTCTTCAATTTTACTTAACTGATCTATATCATGATTTAATACTGCTTTATATAAACTGTGTTGCAATTCTGTCAAAGGAGCATAAACAACTAATTGCTTTTTTGGTGGTACTTCTAAACAAACATCACTTTTTTCACGTCTTAACATAAATGGTTGTAATATTTCACGTAATGATGATAATACACGTTTTTCTTCTTCTAATTTTAAGAATTTTTTAGCACCTTCGTCACCCTGATGTTCTTTTGCATTAAACCATGATTCAAACACAGCTAAGTCATCAAAAATTTCTGGTAATAAAAAATTTAATAATGACCACAATTCTGCTAAATTATTTTGTAATGGTGTGCCTGTTAATAAAAGTCTGTTCATAGACTTACAAGACTTCAAGAGCCTATAAAATCATAATAAATTATCTTATTTATAATTCAATGTTTGTAATATATATAAATGATTAAATTTTAATTAACCTACTTAATGAGTTGACATTCATGATTTTTAATTCTATGTCCTTCATCTACTATTATATATCTCCAACTTAAAGATTTAATAAAATTATTCTCAAATAATGGCACTTCAAAACTAGTAAGCACAATTGGTAATATACTATAACTTTCTGTAATTTTATATTTTTGTTAATTTTTTCTTTAATATCATTTTTTCTTCTGGTGTTCCATGAAATATTACAATAGGTAATTTTGGTGCAAATCTTTCAAATTCTAATGCCCAATTTGGTATAGTTGAAAGAGGAGCTACTAATAAATATGGTCCATCTTGTTTTTTTTCAATAAGATGACATAATAAAGCTATAACTTGAATTGTTTTTCCAAGACCCATTTCATCAGCTAAGATTCCATTTAAACCATTTTCATAAAGAATTTTCAGCCATCTGAGTCCTTCTTTTTGATAATCTCGTAAATCTCCATTAAAATATTTTGGTGTTTCAAGAATAATATTATCAGCATCTTCTATTCCTTCAGAGTCATTGATTAATTCATTTTCAATCTCTTCTATACTTAAATTCAAATTATTTTTATTTATATTTATTTTTTCTTGTACCTGAAAAATTACATAAAAATTATAAATCACTAAAAAATCAAAAAATAATATGGAAAAAAATAAGAAATACTACATTATAATATTTACATTTTTGGATATATAATTTCCTAAATTACGATTTTTTTTCTTTTCTTTTTCCTGAGGTAATTTATTTTCATCTATAGAATTTACTTTTTTTATATCTCTTTTTATGGCTTTATTAGCTTTATTAATATCTTTCTCTAAACTGTTGTCAATTTTATTAACAATATATGAAGCATAAAATTTGCTTCTACTTAACAAATGCATTAATCGTTTATATTGTTGTTCTTGAACTTCAAGATTATATTTCTCTTCTGCTAATTGTCTATTTTTAGCTTTTTCCTGTAATTTTCTCTTCTTTTCATTTATTATAGAAGTTTCTAAGGGTTCATTGTTAAATTTTACATTATCCACAATGATTTTTGAATTGTCTTTTTACATGTAAAGAATAAAATTAGTAAAAATTATTAATAAAAAACATTCTTAAATACAAAATTAATATATATTTATAAATCATTGTTTATTATTGTTTATAGTTGTTTATTATATGTATCATTCAAATTCTTTTTTTAGAAAAAGAAATATATTTTTTAATTATTGTATTATTATTGTATATAATTAAATATTGTATTTCAATATAATTATTTTAAAATAGAAATCATTAATATAAAATATAAAAGAATAATAAAAGATATTTAATATTTCATATAAAGTTGAAACATTAAATTTATATTATAAATTTTAATTTTATATTTAAAATTCATTTTATTAATACAAATTTGATTTCAAAATTTTATTATGGGTTTTATTATTAATTATTATTTGATTAATTTATTATTACTTTTAATATGAAAGTTTTACCTGTAACCAAAATCGTACCATTCGAAATATCATTTTTTGTATCACAATTATTATCTTCCATTTGATAAATAACTATTTAATAAATAATAATGGAACTTGAAATTAAAAAAATTCGCAGAAACAAATGTGAATATTTCACGTGTAAATAGCAAATCCCGCTAAATTATTAACTTGATCGACTTGGACCAATAACATTCACCATTTTAAATTCACCGTTAGTTTTAGAGATAATATGAAAAAATCTTATTTACAAAAGTTTTATCGCATGAAACATGACATAATGGCATTATTTTTTTTCTTTTTAATCAATTATGTAATTATTTTTAATAATGACGGTTATTAAAATAGATTTAAAGATTCTAAAAATAGCATAGAAATTAATAATAAAGTTTATTAATACTTAAAATTAAAAACAAGAGAAATTATTAAAAGAAAATATATACTTCTTATGTTTGTATGTTTATTATGTTTGTTATATTTATTAATTTTAATAACAATTTATTAAATTTAAATTCTTTAACAAAAAATAAATTTTTAACTAATTCAATAAAATATTGTTTTTTAAATTTAATTTAAGAAAGTTAAAAAAAAAAGTAATATTTAATCAAAGTTTCTTTTAAATTATAATTTTTATGTTAATATTTATATATTATTATATATATATTTTTTATATTGGATTAAAACATATTATCATAATATTTTTAAAAACATAATGAAAATTATAAATAAAATTTAAAATTATTTAAACTTACAACATTATATTGAACTATAATATTAACAACAAAATAGCGAAAACAAAAAAATATTTTTTGTTAAATACATATTTTTCTTAAGAAAAAATTATTATTGATATATATAATGTTATTTATTCATTAGTATATATATATATATATATATATATATACACACACACACACTACT